ATACATATGAGAATAATCAAACATTCAGAAATAAGAAAGTAGATAGGATGATCAATTTAATATGTAGATGTATATTAGATTAATAAAACTGGTTAAAAACTAATCCTGAATAATAATAGAAATCATCAGACTACTTAAACCACATTTCTTATCTACTGATACTTTCAATAAAAAACTAGAAATATTTAAAAAAGAAATACAGAATTAAGAATGCAGGAACGGAATGAGTAGAGCGGGCTGGAACAATAGCTCTTATTCAGATGTGCCACAATCAGCAATCTGGCAAGTATCTGTGAAACCACCCAGCTTTTCAGATCTAGAAGGTAAAGTCGGGAGCATTTTGCATAATCGCAAAGATTCAGTCATGGCCTTATCTTGTCAAGGCTGTGACTCTCACGCCAGATTCATCAGGACGGAGTCTACCAACAGTCATCTTTTCCCAGGCTGCGTTAAAGAACGAAGTAGATGTGAATCTTTCGGGTCGTCATCAAAGATGACTCTAGGAAATATCATTCCAGCTCCCGGCCGGACCACATCTAAGATATTTCTGTCTATTTCCGGTTCCCATTGCTAGCCCACAGCCCTCATTCAACCTTGTAGTGACACCAAACTACACATTCTTATGCCTCGCAGTCAGAAGAACAGGCATATCATGCACCACGAAAGTCAGAATATTATCCGTAACACACGGGCGCAAAGGGTTCGCTAAATCGATATGGAAATGGCGAAAAAGCTAGTGATGGTATTAGAACACTACGTATACCCATAAATCCCTCGCTCCACCTTTTGCTCGAATGGGTTTCTTCACTCACCTCGAAGAGCACCTTTTGGATCTCACAGAGTGCAATGTGCCTGGTTGGAACGTTAGCAGTGTTTTCGAACAGTCAGCTACACAAAAGATAAACGCACTTTCCCAGGCATGTGGTCAACCCGGCACTGAAGCAAAGGTTCGCCTTGTCGTATAGGTTCACGGTTTCCGCGTCTACCAGCCACCGTTCAGGGCGGAAGAGGTCGACATCGTCTCCGAAGACGGACTTGTTTCTTCCGAGTGCCCACATACTGAAGCCTAGGGACGGAACCGCTTAGTAGCTGATCGTGCCTACGCGCGAAGCATCGAGGGAACCAAGATTGCGAACTCACCCACTTCGGTACCTCCAGGTAGAGCCTGTCCACATATAGTCGCTCCATGTGGAGGAACAACACGAGGAAAGGGCGTGCTGGAAGAACGTGTCAGTCAGAGCATGCTCAGGGTGCTGTGTCAAACATACCCAATTGGTGGATGGATGCGAAAGACTTCCTTGACGATGGCCCCGAGAAACGGAAGTGCTTTAGTCTCACGGTAAGAGATGACTGAACCTGGGACAGCGGCATTGGCCAGTTTCTCAGTGCTTTCAATTTCCTCTATCAGTTTTCGATAGACCCGCGGGGTGCCAACAATATAGACAACTGCGACGCGGAGAATTGTGGCGACAGACTCCGGGCCGGCAATCCTAGGAAACGGTCATACCTTTTTCATGTTGATCAATGAAGGGGTGAAAATTTGGAAGTCATACACTGGAGTGAACGCCTCCACTTCCAACTCGCGCTGTGGAATCCCCTGGCCCTCCTCGTCGCGGTACTGAAGGAATCGATGGAGCAGATCCTTGACCCCAGAAGGATTTCCGTCCCGGACTCTTCGCCGCACTTCGTTAATTGCCATCTTTAAGCAGCAGTGAATGATTAGTGCTGTTGAGAACAGGGCTGCTTAATGTATTGTAGAGACTTATACGTACTCCTCTGATCATGCCAGGTCCCCAATCATCAGTGGGCTTGGTACCGAGAAGCCAGTTAGCCCAAGGGTGATTAATGAGTCTTTGGAGCTCCGGAAAAGTCGTCATGATTCGTGTAACATTGAAAAGCTCCGTAAGAGACTCAATAATTGAATTGACATCTTTCCCTTGCTCAACAAATCCGACACGGTTGCTGAAGGCAAGATCCATAATTGCGTCAAAGGCGACTACAATCCCCAAGAGTCCATGTTAACAACGAGGTAAAGGTCAACACGGGTTGCCTACTTACAAAAGTGAATGTAATCCGAGAGATCGCACACTTTTCCGCTCGAGGCGAAGCGAGTATCCAACGCGGAAATAAACTCTTGAATGGATTTGTCCAGGAATGGTTCAAGCTCATGCATTGCATCTGGATTATACTGAGATACACAGTTCTTAGTTAGACACGATGTGTGAACGGCAGGCCAGCATGAGGAAACAAACCGCCTGTGCAATTCTTCTTCGTTGGGTGTTATGTTGGTGCATCGTCCGTGCAGTCCCAACACTCTGGAAACCAATCTGAGGATCCAAGGTGATAAACCAGTCGGATCGGTTCCATTTGTGGACTTCATGAATAAAGGCCGGATCATTTACCACGACGTATTTCGGTGCTGCACGATATATGGGGCCATATCTTTCGTGCGCCTGGATATCCCTCCAGTGAAGCTCCCGGCTGTACACTTGGCGTAGAAGCCAAAGTCTCGAGACCGAGGCCCAAAACGGTCCAGGGACCCCTCGCAAAGGATCATTCTGCCGGTAATGGATCAGGAGCAGAAAGGCCGCAAGGACTGGACCAGCCACTACTGAGAAAGAGAAGAATAATGTCAACATTGTCAGTTGAATGACCAGAAGGTGTCGCGGTATTGGGCTCTACAAGCGTCTCCTTTTTGTACATGTAGGGTTTTGGAAGGCCACATAGGGGTGGGAGGGGGGCAATATACCTCTCAGCCAGATCGAGATTCTCCCTGTTTTGCAGCCATGCAAGGGGATCAGATGATTGACGCATGAAAATGTTCTCTGCAGTTAAGGACATACCTCCCTAGCTACCCCTCCCCAAATCTCGCTTGGCAGAGGCCTGAGTTGTACAGTTGAGAAGCAAGGTCCTGTGGCCGGCAAGCTCAGTCAATGCCTGTGAACCACGCCAATTCCATTAACCACAATTGCGAGAGTGACTCCGCTCAAGGGATCAATGTGTGCTAATAAGATGTATTCTGCCTTCTGTGAGGCAAATTCTAGAACTAATCAATTTTCAATTTCATCGGCAATAACTAATCTCTGGCGGCAGGACGGAGACAGTCCCAATGCAGTAAGTGCCTGTTGCATACATACTACTCAGAAAAAGAAGATTGAGCCACGAAGGCGGTCAAGTTTAGGCCTTGTGTGCAAGCTTGAGCTGGTAGAAGGCTTTTACAACCAACGCATCAACAAAGGTCAGTTCATGCCAGAATTCGGTGGAGTGGGCGAGGAGGTCTTACCTAGATCACAGGTTGAATCAGCCCAAACTTGAGCTGGAAGGACACCGGCCTTGTCGAAGAGATCCTTGCGCTCGCCGGAATTATACTTGTGACTATATGCGAAGCGGATCTTCTCGCCTTTCTTAACGATGATGTGATCTAATGGGGCGCCTAACTGGATATCACGATCCCGAGGCGTGTACGAGGCTTCGTGCCGCCCCATCACCGGGTTATATTCACTGAGATAGTACCAATCATCCGATTGAAAGACCTCCGTGACATGGCCTTTGGCGTCACTGCTGGCGTCCTGAATAATAGTACTCGCATACTGTAGACCAGCCAGGGCAAAGGGGACCACGCCGTCCGAAGTGTACGCTCGCAAAACCTTGGTGGGAAGCTTGCAGGAGTCGATACTGACCAGGACCGAGCTCTGATCGTCAGGCGTACAGGTGGCTTCCACCATACTGCGGAGGAAGTTGGCCGCGTTCTCGCGCGAGAAGTTACCGATAGTTGAGCCGAGAAAGAGCGCGCAGTGTGGACGACCGGTTTTCTTAGCGTCTTCCTTAATCCAGGCCAGTCCATCCTCAAATGTGCCGTGGAGTGCGGCACACTGGACGTGCTGCCATCGCTCAATCGGCAGCGTGCGCAAGGTCGACTCCAACTCCGCCCGGCTCAGATCGAGGCCATAGTAGGTCACGTTCTTCTTCTTTTCTTCTAGGGCGTCCAAGAGAATATTGATTTTGTCCAAACTTCTGAGAAAAAGAAAAAGGAGATAGGCATACCTCAGGTTAACAGTGATCCTTCCCTCATGTGGGGCAAACCGCAGCAAAACAAGGAAGGAAAAGGTGACAGAGAGATATAAAGAACAAGAGAGCTTTCTTACCCGCTGCCCAAATCAACAATGGCGCTATTGTCCGCAATTGAGTCGGCCATCTTATGGGCCTGTTCTCGAAGGATATGAAGTTCCTCATGACGGGGGTAATATTCGGGAGCATGGGAGTGACGATCCCAATGTTGCAATCCTTCAGTGCCGTAGAGGATGAGGATCGGGAGGGTGCGTGGATCTTTCTGGATTCCATCCATCACCGCCTCATAGATGGAGTCTTCAACCTTGACGGCACGAATGTCAATGATGGTAGGTTGATACATGATGAAGGTGGCACACAGTCAATCAATGATTCAAGAAGGAAGACCTTTTTGGGGGGGACTTTGGTTATCCTAGGCAGGAGAATCGTCGCCATCGTGAGGGATATAAAGGCCATCCCAGCCTTCGCAGACCGCATCAGTAAGGGTCTCATTGCCCTGAGATGCAAGCATCACCGCCCTTACCGCCCTTAGCCACCCTTGGCCACCCTTGCCATTCTCTGAGACATAGCTTGCTTTATCATTCTCCGATCAGCATGCATTTATAGGAGGCGGTGTGCGTGCTGGAAGGCGCTGAGAGTCAGGTCTGAAATACTTGTTGATAAGAACCCGATTTGAGGCTTTTGAGGCAATTGTTCTGGTGACGCCTCATATGCCCGAGGATGTCATGACCAATTTCGTCTTTATGGGTCTGCGCCGGCTCTTCCCTAAAATCCTTGTAGATTCTTCCCCTTGTGACGTGTCTGGCAGCAGACAGACGCAAGGGTCTAGGAAAATTCGCTACTCCAACTAGGAATCCACCAATGTAACGCAATTTTAACGCAGTTTGTCCGTCTGGCCGGCTAGGTCCTCCTTCGACTCGAGTCCAGCCGTCTTAATTCCTCCAAACTAAAATGCTCAAAGCACTACCAACTGGACAATGGGAGCTCTCGAACTGCAGCTCCGGCGCCACCGCCGCCACCAGAGACCGAAACTCCTCCAATGACCGCTCCCTCCCTGCGAGGAGGGCATACATGGCGATGTCCAGCGTCCGAATATACTTGTCCATCAGCCAGGACCGGGTGCCTTTCTCGGGGAGCACCATATCCATGATAATCAACCGCGATCCCCGGGGTAGGCCCGCCACCGCGGCGGACAAGACACGCTTACAGTCTTCGTCGGACCAGTCGTGGAGGATGAAGCGGTACAAGTAAGCATCGGCGGTGACGGTTTGGGGCTTGAAAAAGTCGTGCGCCATGAACCTTACATTCGCGGTCGGGGAGGCGTCGCTGATGGCTGTGGCGAGGTCCTGAACGGTGCACTGCAGATGGGGGTACTGAGCCGTGAGGGCGAAGCAGGTATGCCCGATCGAGCCGCCAACCTATCCATGATATCGGTTATGATTGACCTTTACAGAGATTGCCTTCAGAGCCGGGGTAGGCACATACATCGACAAGGGAATTGATACATTTCCAGTCGAATCCATTAACCACGTGGTGGACCGACTCCATCGGGGAGGCGCAGCTGGCCGCCATGAGTTCATGAAACTGATGGTCCAGCGTCGGGGACTGCGCGTGAACGTCCCACAATGTCTTGAGGCGACCCTTGTCCTCGACATCTCGATATGCGAGACCGACCGCGCAGGCGGCAGGATCGTCGCCCTTGGGATTCAGTTGGAGGGACTCGTACATGTTCGGGGCGACCCGGGAATACATCTCCAGCGTCCAGCTTGCCCCCCCGGCTGCTTGCTGGTCTCGGACAAAGATCGAGGACATAGAATTATGTCTCACGTCACCATTGGCACCAACAGCGAGAAATCCACATGTCGACGCCAGGGCAATCATCCGTGACAGTAACTGCACGGATACGTTCGCCTCGGACGCCAACTCGCGACAAGATTTGGATGTCCCCAACGGGATCATGGAGGGAATTCTGAGCTTGATCAGGGTCCCAATGGTGCCGACTTCCAGGCCCTACGTATCCGGCGGGCCTTAGCATGCATAGCACATGAACTGATTTAGTCATTCATGCGCAGAGGGGGGCTGGCTTACTGTGGTTGCATAGGTTTGTAGATGCCCTAACGGTCCGCGGGCCAGGCGGAGAATCTTCTCCGCCGCCTCAATCACCTCAGCTTTTGCATGGTATCCCTGCGCACTGGACAGAGGTAATTCAAGCGGAGCATCCTCGTCTTCGAATGTATACCTGTCAAGGTTGACCCTCGCCAGCTCCTGCACGAGCACCTCGATGTTGGCCTCAAGAGTTTTCGCCAGAGCTGGTAAGGAGGACATGATGGCCGGAAGTTGGGATTGTATTGATTGCTAACCGGGATCTAAGCTTGTGGCTGCCGTAGGGGCCGAATGATTTAAACCATTTGATTTAGGCTGCGCGCAGACTACGAACCGGTGATCGAGCGAGACGCACTTCACTGAGATGAACACTCCAGTCACCTCTCATTTAAGGACGAAGCGCAAGGAGTGTGGTGGGGCATGCCAGGGTGGGGCAGACACGCAGCGAAGCATGCATTCATTCATTCCATCGGCTCCACATTTCTACACCGTACTGTACAGTATCCCTCACCGGTCTTCACCGTTCCTCACAGGACTCGACCCTTACTTGTAGCTCGCCATGAAGGCAATCCTTGGCAATCCTGATATCACCCAGTCGAAAATCCTTCCAAACAGCAAGACATTATTCCTCTTTCCCTCGTTCATCGTTTCGGTCATCAGCCGTACTACTCAACCCAGGATCCCCAGGATGGCGCTTCTCGTTGACGGAGACCTTCTGTTGATCTTTGTAGGTATCCTGAGCTTGTATCTGGCTGGACTCACGGTGTACCGACTTGTCTTCCATCCGTTGGCCAGATTCCCCGGACCGAAGCTCGCTGCCCTGACCAGTTGGTACGAGTGCTACTATGATCTGGTCCAAGGGGGGAAGTTTCTCTGGGAGATCGAGCGAATGCATGCGGTCTATGGTCTGTCATTCAAATCCCCAAACCATCTCCCCCCCCCCATCCCCCAACCTCAGCCTCCATACGAAACCTCAATTAATCGATCAATTAATGAATCAAGGATGAGGGGGAGAGATTAACTTCAGTTGATCCCTCAGGTCCCATTGTCCGGATAACTCCGCGCGAGCTACACATCGATGACCCCTACTACTATGACGAGATTTATGCCCCGTCCTGGAAGCGTCGGGACAAGGACGAAGAGTATGTGAAGCTCGACGCGGCCCCAGGGTCGGTCTTCTCCACGACACAGCATGAACTGCACCACCGGCGCGCAGCAGCCCTGCTCCCCTTCCTCTCCAAGAGATCCATCCGCGGAATCGAGCCGCTGATCCGGGAGAAAATCGATCGGCTTTGCGCGTATCTGGAAAGCTGCATCGAGCGCAAGAAGATCGTGAACGTCCCCAGTGCGGCCATGGGCTTGACCGTTGAGATCATCTCGTGTTACGCATACGGCGATAGTTACGCCTGTCTCGACGATGATGTCCTGGGAACCGAATGGAAGAACACCATCACTGCTGCCAACGAGGAAGCAGCCTTCCTACGACATTTTCCCTGGGTGCATGACCTGGTCCAGCTCTTCCCCGCCGGCCTGATCACCTTCCTCCGACCCAGCCTGGGACTTTTGATGCGCTGGCAGAGCCGTATCGACCAGCAGACCAAGTTGGTCTGTCAGCAATACCAGGCGGGGATCCTGCCCCCCCGGACCATCTTCGCCGCCATTCTGGAGAGTGACCTCCCCGCGCAGGAGAAAGAGGCCTGGCGACTCAACAGCGAAGCCCAAAACCTTCTCCACGCCGGCAGTGAGACCTCAGCCAAGACGCTGGAACTGTGTCTGTTTCACCTCCTCAATGACAAGGCCAAGTTGCGAAGGCTGCGCGAGGAATTGAAGACCGTGATGCCGGAGCCGACCACCCCCGTCTCGTGGCAAGCACTGGAATCTCTTCCCTACATGGTACGTCCATCATTCCCGGTCTTACCCAGTGCTTTTTGTCCTCATCAACTGATCGAACGGTGTTGTCTGCAAGTCGGCCTGTGTGCAAGAGGGGATTCGCCTTCAGCTTGGCATCACCACTCGAAGCCCAAGAATCGCCCCCCACGAAGACCTCCAGTACCAAGACTGGACAATCCCAGCGGGCGTAAGTCCATAAACCCCCCTTGGTCCAATTTCGCGGAGCCCCTGGAACTGAACCTCCTATCTTTTCCCAGACCCCGGTCAGCATGATCAGCTGGTTCGTGCACACCAACCCCCAGCTGTTTCCTGATGGCCTCGCTTTCCAACCGGACCGCTGGCTCAAAGCGAGCGCAGCCGGCTTCCGGTTGGACAAATACATGACCTCCTTTATGCGAGGCGGGCGGCAATGCTCTGGAATTAAGTATGCTGGCCTATTCCTACTAGTCCCTGTCTCTGGGCTGCGGGGCGAAATATTGGAAACCTTGCTGACCCTGCGATCCCTCTTTGCTAGCCTTGCCTACTGCCAGGTGAACCTCAGCCTGGCGACCTTGATCCGGCGATTCGACTTGGAACTGTTCGAAACCACAGCACGAGATGTGAGCCCAGATTGGGACTGCTTCGTGGCGTATCCCCCAAGGGATAGTCTGGGGACGAGGATTCGGGTGATGGGGATGGTGAGGGAGTAACATAAGTGATCGAAGTAATACCGTGGGGGTGGGGCGGGGCGGGCAGGCATGTCTAGCTCCCAGGCAATGAATCTTGTCTCCTTGATTCCTGATTAGACCATCGCCGATCTTCTCTGGTGGAATGAGGGAAGATTATGAATTGAGAGTAAACTCCACGACTGAATCCGCCGCGCTCCAGGTACCGCGCTTGTCGTCATCTTACAACTCGCTGTTGGGGATGAGGAATTCTCGAAGTATCCAGAGTACTAAAATAATCAGTACTCTTTCAAGCATGGGACTCTATGCCTGCCATATAAGCACTGAGAAACCTTTTATTTGAAATAATACAAGTTACCTAGACTTTTCTTTTTGAATAACAGTTAAGATTAGTGCATGATGTAATTAACAATTACAGCTCCTAATTCTATCTCTCCACCCAGTTGTATTTATAACATACTTCACTTACCAGTAAAACTTTTTACTGAATTATAACAATTACTAGTTACTGTGAATTTTACATTCTTAATAAACTTAAGAAAAAAGGCCGAAAAGCCCAATTGTTTGATATAACACAACTCTTTAATTAAATTCTTAACTGTTATAGATATTTTATTGTCACAATGCAGACCTAGAGAACCTGGTTTACCTCTTCTACCCGTTCTCTCTTCTATACCCCGACAACCTAACTGCCCAGCTTGACCGCCCCGCAGGTGATCTACAACCTTCTTAACTTCTACGGAAGACCATTGCGGCCACTCGGCAAATGGAATTTTCCTATTAAGTATCCTCACCGCAGCGGTTACCGCCTATTATAACTTCTAACTAATTCTTAGCTTTTTTAATATTAAGATACTATCTGTTTTTTATTCTCCCCCCCACCGGTACTTTTAAATCACGTGATAAACTCAGCTTCTTTTTATATTAGAATATTGAGAATTTTTTAGAGGCCAAAGATATTGTTATTAGGATTCTTTATTAAAAAATATCTATTATTATTCTTTTTTATTAGTGTCGAAGGAACGGCTACAGAGGCTGGAAAGTTGAGGCTATTTAAATTAATATTAATTAGTTGTTAGAAGGAATTAAATATAGCTATATAATATTTTAAACTTTTTAACTATTATATAACCCGGCAATACTAGACTACCAACGCTGATATATTTTTTTGAAAAGTTTTATAATACTATTATTTTTTTTAAATAAGTAATTTATAAAGTTTTTTAGTATTATAAACTTAATAAATATATAGAATAAAAGCCTTTAAATTAAAGTTTATACAGCTAATTAATATTTTTATAAACTATTTTAATTTTAATATTTTATATAAATATTTCTAATTTTTTATTAATATATTAAACTTAATACTTTCTATAGGTTTTATAAATAAGTTAGTAAGATTCTCTAAAAACTTAATATATTTTAATTATATATTACTATATTAAATAGCTTTATAAATCTAGTAGAATATAATATTAATATACTTAATTTTTTAGTAAAACTAGTTATTCTAGATTAATATAATTATATTTTTATTATTAATATAAATAATTATTGAAGATATATTTTAAAAACTAATATCTTTAAGTATATAAATAATCCAGTAGGCTTTTTTATTTATAATATAAAAAACTATATATTTAATTTTATATATTAATATAATAATACAGATCTATAAATATAATAACTAAAAGATTAGACTATTTATTTATATAAATATATATTTAATAATTAAATAATATATATTAAAATAGTTAGTATAATTAGTATTAATATAGTTAATTATAATTTTAAGCTTATTAGTTAAACTATTTTTTTAATATATTATATATAAGATTTTATAATTCTTAGTTTAGTATAAATAACAGAATAAAAATAAAAAACTATTTAAATATTATTTTATTAGATTATTCATATAATAAAATAGCTTTTTAACTATAAATATAATATTAGAATAAGTCTGTATTGTTAAATATATAATATTTTTAATATTAATTTAATAGTTCTTAATCTTCTTTTTAGATATCTATTTCTAATTTTTAATAAATTTAATATTTTTATTTAAAAATATCTTATATATCTTTTTACTCACCGGGTCTGCAGTTTTGATAATATATTAAAAAAAGATTTTTTATATTAAATAAATAATATTAATAAAATATTCGACTTTAACTCTAAGATATTATAAAATATTATTAAAATCTATAATAATAAAATATTTTAATAAATCTTAATATATAATATTAATAAGATCTTTAATAAAAGCAGCAATTTAAATATTATTAATATAAAGAATTATAATTTTTTTATATTTTTTTATAAATAAATATTTATTAGTTTAAAATACTATTATTTTAATATTTATAGCAGTAGTAAGAAACTTATAATATTAGTTTTTTATAAATTATTTCAAACTATATATATATATAAAAATAAAAAGTAGATCTTATTAATACTATTATCAATGCCGGTTAATTAAATTATATAAATCTTTTTATTATTATAAAATTTATTATATAAAAATATTTATTTAATATTATTTTATTTATAGATATATTCAAATATTATTATAATAATAAAAAATATTCTTACTATTATTATTTTTATTATTAGAATATATATAAGATTCTAATTAATATTATATTACTATAGAAAGCTATAAATAATATAATAAGTCTTAAATTTATATATTTTATTATTAGTATTAAGTTTAACTTTAAATATCTAATATTCTAAAATTACTTTATATTTTATAAGTAGTTTAATAAAATATTATATACTATATTTAATAAGCAGTTTTATTTCTATTTTTATAGTTTTTTATTATTTATTAGCTTTAAAAAATAATATAGCTTAATTAAATATTACTAATTTAACAACTTTTTTATAATTTTTAATCTAAAATATAGTAAAAATATATACTAATTATAATAAATATAGAATCTAAGATTTCTATTATTCTAAAAAGTTCTTTATAAATAAATTAATTAGATTTTTAAAACTATTAGTATATATTAGTAGTAGTAATATTAGTAATAAAATATCTATAACTAATTATAATATTATCAGCTGATATATATACTATTAAATTAGTTTATTTATATTAGATTTATTATCTATATTAATTTTATATAGATTATAAATTAGTAGAATAACTGGCGCTGGTATATAAAAATAATTATAATTATTATTTAGTAAGCTGTAGATTTCCGGATCTAAGCTTTTATTAAATTTAATATTTCTAATAATAATAATTTTATTCTTTTAATATTTAAAATATAGTACAGTTTACTAAGACTGGTATAGCCAAGTAAATGAATTATAATCATATAAAATAAGATTTTTAAAATATATTTTTTATTTTTTACTTCTAGTATAATTATTATAATTCTATAATATCTAAGAATATAAAAATTTAATATATTTAGTCTTACTTCTTAATATATCTTCTAAATAATAATAATCTTATTTTTAATTAGTAAAAGATTTTTTAGAAATATTATATCTTTTATAACTTTACTTTAAAATTTTTAATTAAGATCTTAATCTTTTAAAACTATATATATATATAAGAATAATTAAAGATATATATTCTATAAAAATATTTTATATTATAAATATATAATATTATAAACTTTTATTATATTTTTTTATTTTACATCTAAGCTAGTAAGTCTTTAGTCTAAAACTTAGATATATTATTAGAATAAATTAACTATATTTTAAATAATATTCTATTTATAATTTTAATAAATAATTTTAAATATTATACTATATTTATATACTACTTCAGCAGATGTATATTAATCTAGTTGTTATATTAATTAATAAAAAATATCTAATAATAGGTTTTATTAAACTTTATTATAAATAGATTAATATATTTATTTCTGATATTAAAAAATATACTACCGGTGTTGTATTATAGATATTAAATATTAGATTTTTTATTTAGCTATTATTTATATAAAATAATAAATAAAGTAGATATATTTTAATATAATAAGATCTTTTGTATTTATACTATTTATTATTTTTAATATATAAATATAGTTCTAGACTAATAAATATATCAGATACTAATACTAAATATAAAAATTAATATAGTTTTTATTTATAGTTAGAATATATTTTTTATAAATATTTTTAAAAATATATAAATAGTAAATTGATAAAGACAGACTATTACTGCTATTTAATACATTAATTATTATAAACAAACTATTACTACTACTTAATCTAATAATTATTTTATTATTTAATTAATAGATAAGATTAATAAAAAATAAGTTTTTTATAAAATCTATAGTAAAAAATATATTATTTATATTTTTAGATATAATATATACAGCATCAGCCTGCTTATATAAGCAGAAAAGAAACTAATTATTAATAATATTATTAAAAATAAGAATCTCTCTATTTTAAACTTTATAAATAATTATTTTATTTAGCAGTAAGTTAATAATTATTCTATATTTTTAAAAATATATAATATCCAGTAAATTAATTTTTAATATTAGAATATATAATATATTAGTAAGTATTACTATATAAAAATATTCTTCTAAATATTATATTTTTAATTTAATATTATTTTTTAATATTAAATATATAAATTCTTTAATTACTATATAAATACTATACTTAAAAGATTTTATAGTTAATAAAATAAAGTTATCTTTATTCTTAATAAGATATTTAGTAGAACCGGAGTTAATAATTTATTTATTTTTAATATAATATTATAAGATATAAAAATTATATAAAATTATATTTATATTATTTTTATATTTTTTATTTATTATTCTTATACAAAAGACTGCAGCTGCTGTAATATTAAGATTTTTAATAATAATACTAATATTTTAATTTTTTTAATATTTTTAGTTAATTTAAATAATCTTTTTTAGAATAAAATTTCTAGTAGTTAGACTTTTTATAACTAATTTTACCGCAGTAATTATACTTCTAATTCTTATAAATTTTTTATAATATTTTTTCTTTAGAATTATTTTTATTTA